CTGAGGGTCCTGAGGGTCCTGATGATGCGGCTCTTGTCAAAGAGGATTGGCACGCCAGCCACGCTGCCTCAGCCCCTGCCGAAGAAGCGGAGGCCGAGCCCCGATGGGCCCAGCCGGTGCAAGAGATTATGGCTGCTCGGACCTGCGCGGAGAAGCCGTGCCGAGCCAATGCCCAGCGAGCAAGACGAGGGAATCCAGCGTGGCGACAGTCCGCCGGCACGGCGGCCGCAGGCCGAGGCGAGTCCAGCCGTGGCGACGCAGAAACCCCGGGAGGACCTGCGGTCAAGTTGCCACAGATAGCGTGCACGACCCCCCTCGGGGGACAAACAATTTCTCAAACGTGTGCACGCTGTACGCCGACTCTCCGGAGTAGCTCCACTGTGACAGAGATACCCAGGCATCGGACGCCGTGCGTGCACTCCATGCGTTGCCCACGTCTCAAAACGATCCTGCACGCTATACGTTTTTTGCGTTGGCACGCTCAACGGACCCTCACGCTGCACGCTGTACGAGTGCTATTCGGCTCACCTCTCCACTCCGTCCCCTACCCCCCCTCCTCCGAGCGACATGCTCGTATGGCGCCCCTCGGGGGGTGAACCCTGGCGGGGGGCTGATGCCGAAATCGGCGCAGGCGCTCTCGCACGGCCCGTCTGCCACCGACCATCGTGGAATCTGCAGTCCAGGCCCCCACCCCCCATCCCTAGTCACGGCGGAGCCTTCGGGGCGCCCCAATCAGATTTTGCCCATCGACAAACTTGGCGGCGGGCGATGGGGAGAAGAGAGAAGGGACGGGCCTTTTCAGAAGGCGTCGGGACTTCCCAAGGCCGCCAAGACAGCCAAGCATGGTCCCGCTCACGGAGTATCCAGCAGCGGCGACGATGCCCCAGGCCAAACCCCAATGGGCGCAAATCACCTGCGAGCCCAGGATCAGACCTCGACCTTGAAGACGGCTTGCCCTGCTGCGAACAGCTCCAGATACTCCTCCTGGTGTTGGCCAGCCCTTCATGAGAACTACCCTCACGAGGACGATCATTTCCAAAAGAGCTGGTCCCATATTCAAAGCGTCTGGTGCCCCCACGTGACCGTCATCCAAAGAGCTAATGCGAGTGCAAATCATTTTCCTCCTCGTGTTGACCAGCCCTTCATGAAAAACGTCCTTGCCGAAGAGCCCTCGCTTCCTGGCCTTGGTCGCATGCTTCTGGCGGGTCTTGATCATCTCCATGAAAACGACCCTGCCGAAGAGCCCACACTTCTCGGCATTGTTCGCACTCTTGCACAGGAGAGGGCACCAAGCCTTGATCATCACAACGCACAGGATGACGAACTTCGCGCGAGGAGGAGAGGAGTTGCACAGTCACAATCAGTTGCAACGCACGATGCAATGCAACGCACAGTTGCAATGCTCGCGAGAGTGCTCAAGGCCGGTCATGGACGAGGAGGAGGAGGAGGAGGAGGAGGAGGAGGAGGAGGAGGAGGGGAGGAGGAGGGGAGGAGGGAGGAGGTGAGGCGGGGAGGGAGGGAGGGGGGAGGGAGGGACGGGGGACGAGGGATGAGGGATGGAGGGACGGAGGGAGGAGGGCGGATAGGGCGGGAGGGACGGAGGGATGGAGGGATGGAGGGACGGAGGGACGGAGGGACGGAGGGACGGAGGGAGGGAGGGAGGCAGGGAGGGAGGGAGGGAGGGAGGGAGGGACGGAGGGAGGAGGGAGGGTGGGAGGAGGAGGTCGAGGACTTGGGGTCGCCGAGTCACGCTCGGGCGACGACTTCTACTCGTGTCCGCTGCGCTCTGGCCGGGCCTGAGCTGGGCCCCAGCAGCCGTGCGCACGCCCGCGGCGGGCCAGGCGGGGAGGGGGGGCGTGGCGCACGCACCGCCGCCGGGCTCGGCACGGGCCTGGCCGAGGGGGGCAGCGGAGATGTGCAGATTTCGAAGCTCCTCCCTCTCTCCTCCTCCTCCTTCCTCCTCCTCCTCCTCTCCCCCTTCCTCGTCCCCCTCCTCCTCCTCCTCCTCCTCCTCCTCGTCCCCCTCCTCCTCCTCCTCCTCCTCCTCCTCCTCGTCCCCCTCCTCCTCCTCATCCTCTTCATCCTTATCCCATTCCTCCTCACCGTCCTCCCCTAAAACTTCTCCCCTCGAGTCACGATCCATTAGAGGAGCGGCCCCCCCCTCCACACACATGTCGGAAAGGAGCGGCCCTTCATCTGCTGAATGGTTGCAGGCCTTTCACACGAGTTGGCGCGGTGCTGAGGCGAGAGCCCAAGCTTGACCCCCCATACCTGCGACTTGTAGTTTCCTTTTTATCACAGAGTTGCGCGGCGCTGAGGCGAGAGTCCCATGTCAAAGCGGAACCGCCCTCTATCCTTATGATTGTTGCCAGTTTTTGAGACGAATGCGCGCCTCGCTCAGACGAAAACATTCTTTTGGAAGCCGCCCCTCTTGCAAGTTTCGAACACCAATGTGTGCGGCTCTTGCGCTAGAGTACAGTTTTGAAAACCACCCTCCCTCCATCAGTGTAAACGTTGCAGATTTGAAGCTTCAGAGGATCGTTGATGGTAAAGGAGTCACAAGCGAAACGCCCAGTCCGCCCTGACTGCCAACACGTCTGGGGGTGCGACAGGAGGAGGTATCTACAAGGAGAGGGATGGAGGCGACGGTAGCGGAGGAGGAGGAGGAGGAGGAGGAGGAGGAGGAGGAGGAGGAGTGGGAGGAAGAGTTGGAGGAAGAGTTGGAGGAAGAGAAGGAGGACAGGGAGGACATCGAGGACAGGGAGGACATGGAGGACAAGGGGGAGGAGGAAGATGACGAGGAGGAGGAGGAGGCAGAGGAGGAGGAGGAGGAATAACAGGAATAGTAATGCTACTAACACGAGGGTGGATAGGAATGACAACAATATTATTGATACCAAGTGTGTAATTAAAATAAGAATGATAAGGATACTAATGCGGATGCTGCTACTATCACATGAAGAGGGGGGAGGAGGGGAAGGAAGAGGAGGAAAAGGAGAAGACGGAGGAGTGGGAGAAGGATACCCCCCCGCTTAGCATGATGGCGCCGCCAGATTTCTGCGGCTGCGACTTGGACCAGACGGCATGCCTGTGGCAGAGTTGCTTCGGCCCCCGGAGGGGACGGGGGCGGACGTTCGCCGTCGTCGTCGTCGTCGTTGTCGTCGTCGTTGTCACCTCGTCTTCGTCCTCTTCCTCGCCCTCCTCTTCTCCCCTTCCATTTTTGCTTGCTGCCCCCCCGCCTCGCTCGCTTCTGCTCTGCCCTCTTTTTCGGGTCCCGCCCTCTCCCCGGGTTCTCGTTGTCTTCTTGTGCCCGCCTTTCCCTTAAGGGAGTCGAAACAGGTGGAGAGCATGTGAGCAATGAGGAGGACGAGGGCAGTGGCGATTTCTATGAGGAGGCAGTGCACGAGTCGGGGAAGGAGGTGGTGGTGGGAGGAGGAGGACCGAGGACGACGAGGAGGAGGAGGAAGAGGAGGAGGAGGTTGGAGGAGGACCGAGGAGGAGGAGGAGGAGGAGGCGAGGAGGAGGAGGAGGAGGAGGAGGAGGAGGGAGGATAGTAGAGGATAGAGGATGGAGGAGGCGGATACAGGATGGAGAGGAAGGAGAGGAGGAGGAGGAGGAGGAGGAGGAGGAGGAGGAGGAGGAGGAGGGTGAGGAGGAGGAGGTGGTGGTGGTGGAGGAGGAGGATGAGGAGGAGGAGAAGAACATGGAGGAATGAGGAGGACGGAAGAGGAGGAGGGAGCAGGAGGAGGAGGATGAGGAGGACGGAGACGGAGGATGCGGGAGGAGGAGGAGGAGGAGGAGGAGGAGGAGGAGGAGGGCTGACGCCCGTCCGCTCGGAATTCTGAATGGAGATGGCCAGGTATCCTGAGGGCTTGGCCAACACATAGTCTTCCTCATTCGGAGGGAAGAGAGAATGAGAGTGAGGAACTGATGCTGATGGTGACGGTGACGATACATATTCTGATGCTGCTGATGATGACGATGATCATGATAACGTCGATGTGATGATGAGGGTGGCGATGCTGCTGCTGCTGCTGCTGATGATGATAGTGATGATGCTGATGATGATGCTGATGATGCTTGTGAAGATGAGGATGCTGGCGCAGATGGTGACGACGATGACGATGCTGCTGATACTGGTGATGGTGATGACGATTACGAGGATGTTGATGTTGATGGTGATGATGACAACTGATACTGACGACGTTGATGCTGATGCTGATGATGCTGCTGATGGTGATGATGCTGATGATGATGATGATGTTGTTGGTGTGGGTGATGCTGTTGATGATGCTGTTCTCGATGATGCTCATGACGATGCCGACGACGATGATGGCGCTGATAATGATGATGCTGGTTCGTTGTGATGATGATGATGTCGGTGATGATTCTGATGCTGATGATGATAACGATGCTGCTGCAGCTGCCCGGTGACGATGATGATGGTGATAGCGGTGATGATGATGTGGATGAGGATGATGATGCTGATGATGATGAGGATGCTGGTGATGACGATGATAATGCTGGTGACGACGATGACGACGATACTGATGATGATTATAGCTATGAGGTGGCGATGTTGATGGTGATGGTGCTGATGTTTCTAATGATGGTGAATGTGATTCTGATGATGCTGCTGGTGGTGATGATGAAGATGGTGTTAGCGGTGGTTCTGACGATGACAGCGGTGACGATGATGCTGATGATGAACTTTATGATGATGACGGTGATGATGCTGATGCTGCTGCTGATGATGATGATGATCATGATGCCGATGCTGCTGATGATGCTGATGATGGTGATGATGCAACTGTTGCTTATGATGACGATGATGATGATGATGATGATGATGATGATGATGATGATGATGATACTGATGGTGATGCTGATATAAGTAATGATGATGAAGAAGGGGAGTATGAGGAGGATGAGGAGGAGGAGGAGGAGCAGGATGGTGATGCTGATGTTAATGTAGATGTGGTGGTTGTGGTTGTTTATGTTGTTGGTGTTATGGTTGTTTTGGATGTTGTTGTTAATGTCGTGTTTGACGATGATGATTACGGTGGTTGTGATGCTACGGTTTTTGATGACGAGAATGAGGAGGAGGATTGGTCTGGATGATGATGATGATGATGATGGTGATGATCATGATGAGGATGATGATGCTGATGATGATGATGACGATGACGATGGCGGTGGCGATGACGATGATGATGATGATGATGATGATGATGATGATGATGATGCAGACGATGATGATATGATATGATGATTCTGCTGATGCTGATGATGATGATGATTATGATGATCATAGAGTTGATGATGATGCTGATGATGAAGACGATGGTGTTGTTGATGATGATGATGGTGACGATTACGACGACGACGACGACGATGATGATGATGATGATGATGATGATGATGATGCTGATGATGATTATGATAATGGTGGTGATGATGATGCTGATGCATGACGACGGTGGTGGTGGTGGTGATGGTGATGATGATGATTATGATGTTGATGATGTTGATGATGATGATGATGATGATGATGATGATGATGATGGTGGTGGTGGTGGTGGTGGGGTGATGATGGTGGTGATGAGGAGGAGGAGGAGAAAGAGGAAGAGGATGATGGTGGTGGTGATGATGATTCTGATTTTGGTGGTAGTCGTTATGGCTGTTAGGGCTATCATTATCACGAAGAGAGTGTTGGTGAGGGAAGGGGTGATCGCCAGCTTTGGGGGGGGGAGCTGGCCACCAGCAATGTCGCTCTGCACCCCGTGGGCACCGACTTCGTTAGACTCGAGGTCAGGCGTAATGGGTGCAAAGGGGGAGCCTGAAACCCGACACGCGCCACGCCGATAACCATGGGGACCTGCTGGAATGATCTTTGGGCATCCGCTCAGAGCCCCTCCCTCTCCTCCTCTCCCTCCTTCTCCGAGTATCGCCTGTCGGAGCTCGGCGGCGCATGGCCTCGGGAGGCCGAGTCGCCGGGCATCCGTGTTATTTCACGCGTGACCGGCGGAGCCTCCCTCCCTGGTGCCGCTTCGAGGCGGCTCTGGGGCAGGAACGCCTCGGCCTGGCGTCTGATGGCCCATACCCTTCAGTCGGGCATGTCCCTCTACAGGGGGAATATTCAAAGATAGTTGAAACATAGTTTTTTTTGTTTTTTGTTTTGTTGTTGTTGTTGTTGTTGTCATTGTTTTTCCCCAATCAGAGCTTGCCTCTGTAGGGGTCCCAGCGGATTCATACGGTTAGGTGAGATTTGCCACCGATTTCCGCCGCCCGCCTAGGTGCACAGGTACCCGGGTGCCCAGGTGCCCGGGTGCCCAGATGCCCAGTGCCGGGGTGCCCGGGTGCCTTATAGCCCTGTAGCCCTATAACCTTATAGCCCTGTAGCCCTATAGCCTCATAGCCCTATAGCCCTACAGCCCTATAGCCTTATAGCCCTATAGCCCCATAGCCCAATAGCCCTATAGCCCAATAGCCCTGTAGCCCTATAGCTTTATAACCCTATGGCCCTACAGCCATATAGCCCTATAGCCCTATAGCCCTATAACACAATAGCCCTATAACCCCATAGCCCTATATCCCCATAGCCCTATTGCCCTATAGCCCCATAGCCCTGTAGCCCTATAGCCTATAGCCTTATGCCTTATACCCTTATAGCCTTATAGCCCTATGTCCTTGTAGCCCTATAGCCCTATGTGCTATATCCCTATAGTCCCATAGCCCTATAGCTCTATAGCCCATTGCCCTATAGCCCTATAGCCTTATAGCCCCATAGCCCCATAGCCCAATAGCCCTATAGCCCAATACCCCTATAGTCCTATAGCCTTATAACCCTGTAGCCCTACAGCCATATAGCCCTACAGCCCTATAGCCCTATAGCACAATAGCCCCATATCCCCGTAGCCCTATAGTCCTATAGCCCTATTGTCCCAAACCCCTATAGCCCTGTAGCCCTATAGCCCCATCGCCCCACAGCCCACTAGACCCATAGCCCCATAGCCCTGAAAAGAGTTTGATAGGTTTGTTTCTGGTATTATGGACCATTTGTTGAGGTTTTCCCCAATCAAAGTTTGCCTCTGTAGCGATCCCAGCGGATTCATATGGTTAGGTGAGGTTTGCCACCGATTTCCGCGACCCGCCGGGGTGCCCGGGTGCCCGGGTGCTTGGGTGCCCGTTTGCCCAGGTGCCCGGGTGCCCGGGTGCCTGGGAGCCTGGGTGCCTACAGCCCTTTAGCCCTATAGCCCTAGAGCCCTACAGCCTTATAGCCTTTAGCTCTATGGCCCCATAGCCCAATAGCCCTATAGCTCTATAGCCCAATAGCCCTATAGCCCTATAGCCTTATAGCCGTATAGCCCTACTGCCCTATCGCCTTACAGCACTATAGCTCTTCAGCACTATAGCTCCGTAGTCCTACAGCCCTATAGCCCTATAGCCCCATAGCCCTGTAGCCCCATAGCCCTATCGCCCTATGGACTTAGAGCCTTATAGCCCAATAGCCCTATAGCCCTATAGCCCTATATTCCTCTAGCCTTCTAGCCCTACAGCCTTATGGCCTTATAGCCTTATAGCCTTATAGCCTTATAGCCCTATAGCCCTATAGCCCTATAACCCTATAGCCCTATAACTCTATATGCCAATATCCCTATAGCCCTATAGCCTTTAGCCCTGGATCCCTATATCACTATTGCCCGTAACCCTATGGTCGTATAGCCCTATAGCCCCATAGCCATATATACGCGTAGCCCTATGGCCCTATCGCCCTATAGCCCCACAGCCCCAGAGCCCCAGAGCCCCATAGCCGTATAGCCCTACAGCCCTATAGCCCTATGGCCCTGTAGTCCTATAGCCCTTAGCCCTATAGACCTATAACCCTATGGCCCCATAGCCTTATAGTTCCATAGCCCTATAGCCCCATAGCCTATAGCCCAAGATTCCCATAGCCCTACAGCCCTAACAAGACTTTGATTGGGGCTTTTCTCCGGTACCATCTTACGTTTCCCTGAAAATCCGCCTGTGGGAGGACATGCCCGACTTAACCGTACCCCCAAGAAGTCCCCTCAGAGAGGTCCTGGCATCAGCGGAAGCGCCCGCAATCGCACGCCTTCTGCTCCCTCTTCCCTCCCTCTTCCCAAACATCGGGCGTCGCTGCAGGAGCGTAGTCCTTCTCTCCCCTCCGCTTCTCTTCATTTTCACCTTCCTTCGCAGTCGCTGCAGGAACGCATTCCCCGGCTCCCCCTCACCAGACATCAGGCGTCGTGATTTTTGCATGGCGTGGCTCCTCAGAGGTCTGGATTGGGGACTGGTATTTCATCTTGAGCCCTTTCTTGACGACCCCTGGGGACCTGTGAGTGCCTGCAGTGGCCGAAGGTGGTCAAAATGTGCCCGATGTTTTTTCCCCACAGCCTTAGTGGGATTCTTGTCTTCTCTGGACACCCCCGCGCAGGAACAGGAGCACATCCACGTCATCATCGTCCTCATCATCACCCTGCGCCGAGCTCACGGTCGCTTCCCCGCGGCCACGCCGCGGCGCTGTGTTGCCGCCGCTGCCTTTTCATTGATTCTGCCGCGCCTCTGCTGATCCGTTATCGTCTCCATCATCACTCCATCATCATCATCATCATCATCATCATCATCATCATCATCATCATCATCATCATCATCATCATCATCATCATCATCATCATCATCATCGCCACCATCATCATCAGTATTACCATCATGTTCATCATCATCATCTCCAGCATCACTATCATCATCATCATCATCATCGTCATCAGCACCATCACCATCACCATCACTATCACCACCACCGTCATCATCATCAACATCATCATCATCACCATCACCATCACCATTACCATCATCATCATCAGCATCAGCAGCATCAGCTCCATTATCATTATCATCATCAGTATCACTATCACTACCATCATCATAATTGTTATTACTATTTACACTATTACTACTACGGTGGTTATCATCATTCGTATTATTGTCACTTCCTCCGATTGTTTCGCTGATTTTTTGATGACACTGATCGTAACCATGAATTGTGATCTAATTGTTACCATATGTGTTGTTATCATTACTGCTGCTACTACTACTACTTCTACTACTACTACTACTACCACTTCTACTACGGCTACTACTACTACTACTACTACTTCCACTACTACTACTACTACTACTACTACTACTACTACTACTACTACTACTACTACTACTACTACTACTACTACTACTACTACTACTACTACTACTACTACTACTACTACTACTACTACTACTACTACTACCACTACCACTACCACTACCACCACCACCACCACTATTACGAGTATTACCACCACCACTACTCTGCTACCGCTATTGTTAGCATGTATCTCCTGCCTTGATTATCGTCGTCGTTGCTGTCGTCAGCATCGCCATCAATATTTTCTTTATCATCCCAGTCATAATTGTAATCATCATCATTAGCCCATCGTGACCATCTGCATCAGCATCATTATCACCATCATCTTCACCATCGTCATCACCATCATCGCTAAGATCATCCCCACCGCTACCACCATCATCAGCACCACCATCATCATCACCACTACCTGTATCGTCATCGTCATCATCATCTAACCGGTTACTACTTTCATTATTATCACTACTACGGTTGTTCCGCTGGCTTTCATGATGGCACTTATTTTTTATTTGCGATTTCCTTGCTATGAACTGTGCTGTTATCATTACTACCACTACTACTACTACTACTGCTGCTGCTGCTGCTGCTACTACTGCCACTACTACTACTACTACTACTACTACTACTACTACTACTACTACTACTACTACTACTACTACTACTACTACTACTACTACTACTACTACTACTACTACTACTACTACTACTACTACTACTACTACTACTACTACTACTACTACTACTACTACTACTACTACTACTACTACTACTACTACTACTACTACTACTACTACTACTACTACTACTACTACTTACTACTACTACTACTACTACTACTACTACTACTACTACTACTACTACTACTGTTACTACTACTACGACTATTACTGATACTGTACTGACAGTACTAGTAGTACTACTACTACTACTACCACTACCACTACCACTACCACTACCACTACCACTACCACTACCACTACCACTACCACTACCACTACCACCACCACCACCACCACGAGTAGTAGTAGTAGTAATAGTAGTAGTAGTAGTAGTAGTAGTAGTAGTAGTAGTAGTAGTAGTAGTAGTAGTAGTAGTAGTAATCGGAGTACTAGTACTGCTAGTGCTACTACGGCCACTACGGCTACTACTACTAGTACTACTACTACTACTACTACTACTACTACTACTACTACTACTACTACTACTACTACTACTACTACTACTACTACTACTACTACTACTACTACTACTACTACTACTACTACTACTACTACTACTACTACTACTACTACTACTACTACTACTACTACTACTACTACTACTACTACTACTACTACTACTACTACTACTACTACTACTACTACTACTACTACTACTACTACTACTACTACTACTACTACTACTACTACTACTACTACTACGACAGCTTCAACTTCTACTATAAGTACTTCTGTTCGTATGTTTGATTTTTTGGTGAGTATCATCGTCGCTGCCGTCGTCAAGCCGGGTCCTCTTTTGTCGTCAACGTCGTTATCATCGTCATTTTTTTCGAGCGGGGTCCTCGTCTGCGGGTGAAATGTGAGGAAATCTCAAGCGGTAGCCCCCTCCCGATAAAAAGGCCAGGAGCTCGTATTTTTAATCCGAGTGGGTCATTGGCGTAGTGTAGCAGGCATAGCACTTGAGCACTCCAAGGGCGCACGTCGCGATGAGGATGTCTCGAGCGGGGGCCTCGTCTGTGAGTGAATTATGGGGAAGTCTCAGACGGGAGCCCCCTACTTATGGGGCTGGGAGCTCATGTTTTTAATTCGAGCGGGGTCATTGGCGTACTGTAGCAGGCATAGCACTCGAGGACCCCAAGGGGGCAACTCGTGAGGATGTCTCGAGCGGGGGCCTCGTCTGTGAGTGAATTGCGGGGAAGTCTCAGGCGGGAGCCCCCTCCCTATGGGGCCCGCAGCTTCTGTTATTGATCCGAGCGGGGTCATTGGCGTATTGTGGCAGGCATAACACTCGAGCACCCCAAGGGCGCAAATCGTGAGGATGTCTCGAGCGGGGGCCTCGTCTGTGAGCGAATTGCGAAGAAGTCTCAGGCGGGAGGGAGCCCCCTCCATGCGGGGCCCCCAGCTCGTGTTAGACATTCGAGCGGGGTCATTGGTGTATTGTAGGCATCGCACGTGAGCACCCCAAGGGCGCAAATCGTGATGAGGATGTCTCGAGCGGGGGCCTCGTCTGCTAGTGAATCGCGAGGAAGTCTCGAGCGGGAGCCCCCTCCCTACGGGGTCCGCAGGTCCAACAAGCCCCACAGATCGCACAGTTTCCCTGGGCACCACATATCTCAAAGGTTCCACACGGCGCATCCTGGTATCCTCGCATCTTGGAATCATCACCATCGGTTCTAGTCGGTGAGTGTGAATTTGCCTCGCAGTAAGGAGATTCTCATGTGAGTGCCCTACCGTCGGAGCAATTTCACGACGCGAGGAGGTTGGCGTTTTCGGGTCATCACTCGGGTCCCTGGCGGCCGTTCGGACTGATCCGGGCCCCCGCGGACGCCTCTCGGAGAGCATCCCGAGGTTGGACAACCTCCAACAACCGACGAAATCGTCCAAAAACCTAATTTTTCTCGTTCTCCTCCTTATCATCGCTCCTCCGCCTTCTCGTCGATCCTCCTCCTTCCTCCTCGTCCATCCTCCATCCTCCATCCTCCATACTCCTTCCTCCTCCCTCCCTCCCTCCTCCCTCCTCCTCCCTCCCTCCGCCCTCCTCCCTCCTCCCTCCTGCCTCCTCCCTCCTCTCTACTGCCTCCTCCCTCCTCCCTCCTCCCTCCTCCCTCTTCCTCCTCCTCCTCCTCCTCCTCCTCCTCCTCCCCCTCCCCCTCCCCCTCCCCCTCCTCTCTCCCCCTCCTCCTCCTCCTCCTCCTCCTCCTCCCCCCTGCTCCTCCTCCTCCTCCTCCTCCTCCTCCTCCTCCTCCTATTCCTCCTCTTCCTCCTCCTCCCTCTCCTCTTTCTTCGACTCGTGCACTTACTCATCGTCATCATCCCTGTCGTGCTCCTCCTTGCGAGCAGGCTCTCCAAATGTCTTCAACTCCTCTACGGCCAACGCGGGCACAGCAGGACAGCGAGCACAAGAGGAGAGGAAGACTAGGGAGTGGACGTTGCGGAAGCTTGCGAGGCGGCTGGGGCAAGCAGGCCAAACGGGGAGTGGCAGGACGAGGAGGACGAGAGCGAGAGCGAGAACGAGGACGAGGATGAGGACTAACACGAGGACGAGGACGAGAGCAAGGACGAGGTCGAGGACGGGGACGCGAACGACGACGACGACGACTTCGTCCTCCTCTCGGCACGCGGGCCTGCCCTCCAGCGGGCAGCGGGGGGCGGGTCGGCTAGGAGCCGCGCGGCGGCGGCTGGTTTCGGTGCGCGTGGGCGGCCTTCTCGGACCTGAAGCTGCCCAAGAGCTCCTCCGGGCTCGGCATCGGCGGCAATCTGGAGGGGCGGGGACCGCCGCCGCCGCAATGCTGCTGCGCCCGCTGTTGCTGCTGCTGCTGCTGACGACGATGATGCTGATTCCGATGATGCTGATGACGATGAAGATGATGCTGATGGCGATGGCGATAGCGATGATGACGATGACGATGACGATGATGATGATGATGATGATGATGATGATGATGATGATGATGATGATGATGATGATGATGATGATGATGATGATGATGATGATGATAATGCTGCTGCTGCTGATGATGATAATGCTGCTGATGATGATGATGATGGTGCTGATGCTGATGCTGATGACGATAATGATGATGACGACGACAGCGAGGATAATGGTGAGGATGAGGACGATGATGAGGACGATGATGAGGACGATCATGAGGATGATGATGAGGATGATGATGATGACGATGATGATGATGCTGACGATGGATGGTGATGATGCCGCTGCTGCTACTGATGATGCTGCTGCGGCTGCTGCTGATGATGATGACGATGATGATTAGGGTGACGATGATGACGATGATGTCGACGGCGACGGTAAGTATCAACATACTGATGACGATGATGTTGATGATGATGACGATGACGATGACGATGATGATGGTGATGATGATGAGGATGATGATGATGATGTTGATTGCGATGGCGATGGTGATGGTGATGCTGATGCGGATGATGCTGATGCTGATGATGATGATGATGATGCTGATCATGATGATGCTTCTGATGCCAATGCCAAAGATGATGATGAGATGATGATGATGCTGATGGTGATGATGATGCTGATGATGATGATGATGCTGATGCTGATGATAATGATAATGATGCCGCTGCTGATGATGATGATGATGATGATTATGATGATGATGGTGATGATGATGACGATGATGACGACGACGATGACGCTGACGACGACGATGGCCACGACGACGACTGACGACGACGCCTGATGACGACGACGATGCTGATGATGATACTGATAAGTGTGATGATGATTATGGTAATGGTGATGATGATGCTGATGATGCTGATGGTGGTGATGATGATGGTGGTAGCGTTGGTGATGTTCGTAGTGATAGTGATGGTGATGACGGTGATGTTGATGATGATGATGATGACGATGATGATGATGATGCCGATGACGATGGTGATGATGATGGCGATGATGTTGATGGTGGTGGTGATGATGACGATTGTGATGATGCTGATGATGATGATAGTAATGATGCTGATGATGATGAAGACGATGCTGTTGTTGTTGATGATTTTGATGCTATGGTGATCCTGTTGATGGTAATGATGAGGATGAGGAAGAGAAGGAGGGGCGGAGCAAGAGGAGGAGGAGGAGGAGGAGGACGAGGAGGAGAAGAGAAGGAGCAAGAGAGAGAGGAGGAGGAGGAGTACGGCGATCATGATTCTGCTACTGCTGCTGCTGCGGATGATGACGACGACGACGACGATGACGACGACGATGACAATGAGGATGATGATGACGATGATGATGATGATGATGATGATGATGATGATGATGATGATGATGATGATGATGATGATGATGATGATGATGATGATGATGATGATGATGATGATGATGATGATGATGATGATGATGATGATGATGATGATGATGATGATGATGATGATGATGATGATGATGATGATGATGATGATGATGATGGATGATGATGATGATGATGATGATGATGGAGATGATGATGATGATGATGATGATGATGATGATGATGATGATGATGCTGATGATGATGATGATGATGATGATCATGATGATCATGCTGATGATGAGGATGAACATGATGATGATGATGATGATGATGATGATGATTGCGATGGTGATGGTGATGCTGTTGATGATGATGAGGATTATGATGACGATGATGCTCATGATCTTGAGGCTGACGATTATATTGATGCTGATACTGATGACGATGCTGATGATGATGATGATGCTGGTAAAGCTGATGATGGTACTGATAATGATGATGATGCTGATGATGATGATGACGACTGCGATTGTGATGCTGTTGATCATGATGCATCTGCTGCTGATGCTGATGAGGATACTGATGATAATGACGATGCTGATGATCATGATGATGATGATGCTGATGATGATGATGATGATGGTGCTGATGACGACGATGATGATGCTGATGATGATGATGATGATGATGGTGCTGCTGATGATAATGATGATGATGATGATGCTGATGATGATGATGATGATGATGATGATGATGATGATGATGATGATGATGATGATGATGATGATGATGATGATGATGATGATGATGCTGCTGCGGATGAGGAGGATGCGGAGGATGAGGAGGGATGGCGGAAGAGGAGGAAAAGGAGGAAGAGGAGACGGAGCAGGAGGAAGAGGAGTATTGCGATGATGATATGCTGCAGATGATGAGGATGAGGATTAGGATGAGGCTGATGATGAGAATGATGGTGATGGTGATTATTATTATTATAATGATGAGCATGATGATGATGATGATGATGATGATGATAATGATGATGATGATGATGATGATGATGATGATGATGATGATGATGATGATGATGATGATGATGATGATGCTGATGATGATGATGATTATGATGATGATGATGATGATGCTGATGATGATGATGACGACGGCGAGGACGACGACGCCGATGGTGATGACGATGACGATGACAATGACGATGACGATTCCGATGATGATGACGACGCCGACGACGACGATGATGACGATGCTGATGAGGATGAGGATGATGATCATGACAACGACGACGATGATGCTGCCGATGATGATGAGGTTGATCATCACGATGATGCTGCGTTGGAGGATTTTGAGGACGAGGAAGCAGACGAGTACCATGATGGTGATTCTGATGCTGCTGGCAATGGTGGTGATGACGCTGCTGCTGATGATGGTGATGATGATTATCACGGTGGGAATGAGGATGAGGAGGAGGAGATGGAGGAGGAGGAGGAGGGATATGGAGGATGAAAAGGAAGGGGAAGAGGATGACGATTATGCTGCTGCTGCTGATGAGGAGGAGGAGGAGGAGCAAGAGGACGAGGAAGAGGAAGAGGATGTGGTCGTTGTTGTTGATGATGATGGTGGTGCTGGTGGTGATGTTTATGGTGACTCTTACGTGGATGATGAGTATCGAAAACGCCTACCGCGAATCACCGCCGCCCCCTGCCTTTTTGGAAGCGCCTGCGTGGCCGAAAGTTGGGTTTGAGCTTGGCGAAGCTATTGGGCCACGCGTTCCCCGAGTGGGTTTCGAAAGCCTTCGGGAAACATGGAGTCGGGCGAGCTATCGGACCAGATGGTTTCCGAGCTTTCGGGCCTCCTGGAGGACGTCTTGGAGGGGTCTTGGGCCGTCTTGGAGGCCTCTGGCAGGCCTTTTGGGCATTCCAAGGCCATCTTCAGGTCAGTTTGGGCCGTCTTGGTTGCATCTTGGGGCCATCTTGGTCGTCTTGGAGGCCATCTTGGCCGTCTTGGACGCATCTTGGAGGCCATCTTGGCCGTCTTGGAGGCCATCTTCGGCGTCTTCGGGGCCATCTTGGGCCGTCTTGGGGTCTTCTTGGGGCCCTCTTGGGGGCCTCTTGGCTTGTCATGGGGCCATCTTGGAGGCCTCTTGGGCGCTCTTGGGACGATGTTGGGGGCCTCTTGGGCCGTCTTAGGCCGTCAGAGAGCTGCAAAGAAGAAAATGCCAAAATCCTTCAAACACCGAAGGACAATCAATGATTTTTGCCCTGTCTTGCCTTCCTAGAGGACGTCTTGGAGGCCTTTTCGGGGCCTCTTGGCCAGTCTTAGGCCATCTTGGAGCCATCTTGGGCCGTCTTGGAGGCTTCTTGGACGAACTTGAAGGCATCTTGGACTCTCTAGGGCCGTCTTGGAAGCCATCTTGGACCATCTTTGGCGACTTGGACGCCATCTTAGGCCATCTTGGAGGCCATCTCAGGCCAACGTGACCATCTTCGGGGCCATCTTGAGCCGTCTTGGAGAAGTTTTTGCGGTCGTTGAGGTGGTTGCGGGGCCTTTCCGGGACCCCGGCGGGATCGGCCGACGCCCCAGGGGGAGTTCTTTTGGAAGAGAACCAAAACCAAAATCGAAAGGATCTAGCACGCTGGGCACCCTTATGGCAAGCCAACAGGGGGCGGCGGATCGAAAACGCCTACCGCGAATCACCGCCGCCCCCTGCCTTTTTGGAAGCGCCTGCGTGGCCGAAAGTTGGGCTTGAGCTTGGCGAAGCTATCGGGCCACGCGTTCCCCGAGTGGGTTTCGAAGGCCTTCGGGGAACACGGAGTCGGGCGAGCTATCGGACCAGATGGTTTCCGAGCTTTCGGGCCTCCTGGAGGACGTCTTGGAGGGGTCTTGGGCCGTCTTGGAGGCCTGTGGCGGGCCTTTTGGGCAGTCGAAGGCCATCTTCAGGCCATCTTGGGCCGTCTTGGGTGCATCTTGGGGCCATCTCGGCCGTCTTGGAGGCCATCTTGGCCGTCTTGGAGGCATCTTGAAGGCCATCTTGGCGCCGTCTTGGAGGCCATCTTGGGCGTCTTGGGGGCCTCTTGGGTCGTCTTGGGGTCTTGTTGGGGCCCTCTTGGGGGCCTCTTGGCTTGTCATGGGGCCATCTGGGAGGCTTCTTGGGCGTCTTGGGTCGATGTTGGGGGCCCCTTGGGCCGTCCTGGGCCGTCGGAGAGCTGAAAAAAGGAAAATGTCAAAATCCTTCAAACACCGAAGGGCAATCAATGATTTTGGTCTCGTCGGACCTTCCTGGAGGACGTCTTGGAGGGGTCTTGGGCCGTCTTGGAGGCCTCTTGCTGGCCTTTTGGGAAGTCTTAGGCCATCTTCAGGCCATCTTCAGGCCGTCTTGGGCCGTCTTGGGTGCATCTTGGGGCCATCTCGGCCGTCTTGGAGGCTATCCTGGCCGTCTTGGAGGCATCTTGGAGGCCATCTTGGCAGTCTTGGAGGCCATCTGGGGCTTCTCGGGGGCCTCTTGGGCCGTCTTGGAGGCCATCTTGGACCTGGAGAGTTTACGGGTCCTTATTCCGTGCCGGCGGGACGGGCCGAAGCCCCAGGGGGAGTTCTAAAATAACCCAAACCAGCAAGGTCTAGCACGCCGAGCACCCCAGAGGCAAGCCAACAGGGGGCGGCGGTGAGTCAGAGTATTTAATGGACGCTTCTTGGAGTCTCTTCGGAGGGCTCTCGGTGGCCTCCGGGGGGCAGTTTTGACTCCTCGTGGGAGCTTCTTGGAGGCCTCTCGGGGGCCTCCTGGGGGCTTCCTGGGGGCCTCGTGGGGGGCGCTCGGGGCCTCTGTGGAGGTCCTTCTTCATCCCGATTTCCTTTTTGACGGTCTGGGGGCCTGCTGCAGAACAGTTTCCCAAAACTGGCTGTCGCTATTTTTCCACGAGGCGAGGGGGTGGGGGGCCCCTGTTTTTTACTCCGTTTCCCCTTGCCTCCTCCCAGCTTTCTGATTGGCTGTGCTGCCTCGCCGGCAGATTACGGCCGCCATCTCGTCGTCGTCCTCCTCCCACTCTCCGCCCTCGTTCCCCCTCCTCCCTCCTGGGCCCCTCCTCCTATACTCCTCCCTCCTTCCCCCTCCTTCGTCATCTTCCTCCTGCATGCTCCTCCTCCCTGCGTGACCGGGTTTTGTCTCCGTTCGGCCCCGAAGAGGCCGACCTCCCGTGGGTGAAGGCTCGAGGGGAGGCCCCGGCTCGAGCATCGCCAGACGAGCTTGGCGAGCCAGACTCGGGTGCCGACGACTTCGGCTGACATCATGGACTGCCAGGCTTTAGGTCCGCCTCCAGCATTAGGTCGGGCCTGTCCCCCTACGCGGGGATTTTGGACGAAAACTAAAACATAGTAAACATGCGCCCACCAACAATATCCAGGGATACTCAAACAATCGTCCCTAGACTATTTCTGGACTAGTTTTGAATATTCCTCCTGTAGAGGGACAGTCCCGACTTAACCCCAGCAACAAACCCCTCCCGCGCCTGGCACGCGTGCGTTTCCTTGGGGTCGTGGCCACCGCATCGCCCCTGCTGTCGCTGTCGAAGGCGCACTTCAAGGCGCACGCGCGCGGGCGATCGCTCCGTGCGCCGGCATCGCCCGACAGCGGCCGCGGCGAGGCGACGACGACATGCGCGATGGCGACGGTGACCAGGGAGCAAGTAATGGCATAAACACCAACTTTCGGAGGTCCGCGTGGATTCCTCGGATCGGCGCTGGAAACCCCTGGCGGTTTCTCTGGCGCCGCCACAGGCCGCCACAGACCGATCCAAGAAATCTGGGCGGACCTCCGACCGACAGTTTCTGTGTAATGTCAGCTTATGATTAACAAGTGGCCAGACCCCCCCCCCGGTGCTGATGAATAGACCCCGCGGGGCGCGGTTTTTGTTTTTTGTTTACCAGTATTTATATATATACATCTAATAAAACTCACGCGCGCCAGGGGGGAGGAGGAGAGATGAGGGGGAGGGAGGAGAAGGAGGAGAAGGCGGAGGAGGAGGAGGGGAGGCGGAGGAGGAGGAGGAGGAGGAGGAGTAGGAGGAGGAAGAAGAGGAGGAGGAAGAGGAGGAGGAGGAGGAGAGGAGGAGGAGGAGGAGGAGGAGGGGAGGAGGAGGAGGAGGAGGAGGAGGAGGAGGAGGAGGAGGAGGAGGAGGAGGAGGAGGAGGAGGGGAGGAGTGAGGAGGAGGAGAGGCGGAGGAGGAGGAGGAGGAGGGGAGGAGGGAAGGAGGAGCAGGAGGAGGAGGAGGAGGAGGAGGAGGAGGAGGAGGAGGAGGAGGAGGAGGAGGAGGAGGAGGAGGAGGAGGAGGAGGAGGAGGAGGAGGAGGAGGAGGAGGAGGAGGAGGAGGAGGAGGAGGAGGAGGAGGAGGAGGGAGGAGGAGGAGGAGGAGGAGGAGAGGAGGAGGAGGAGGAGGAGGAGGAGGAGGAGGAGGAGGAGGAGGAGGAGGAGGAGGAGGAGGAGGAGGAGGAGGAGGAGGAGGAGGAGGAGGAGGAGGAGGAGGAGGAGGAGGGGAGGAGGAGGAGGAGGAGGAGGAGGAGGAGGAGGAGGGAGGAGGAGGAGGAGGAGGAGGAGGTGGAGGAGGAGGGAGGAGGGAGGAGGAGGAGGAGGCCCGAGCGGCGAGGAGAGAGCGGCCGCTGGAAGCGGGCGCAGGGGCAGGGCGGGGCACGGCGGCGACGACGGCAACGGAGGGGGGGAGGAGGACTGCCTTGCTCGGGTCGGGCGACAAGCTGGGGATGGAAAGGGGGGGTCCTCCTCCTCCTCCTCCTCGTCCT